TTTTTCCACCAAATGCCATGGGTTTGGAGAAGAGATTGAGGAAGTGAACCATACCACATGCCATGGATGGTTCTTGTTTTGTTTTCAAGGCTTAGAGAAACCTCTTAAAAGAGTAGATCTAAATGTTTTCAAACCAAAGCTTAAATCTTTGATACCCTTGAATATGACCTTCGACCCTAAACCCTCTCTTTTTAGCTTATTAAAACATATGTTCATCGTTGCTTGTCATTAAGTTGCATCCTGTTCGTTAGAAGTCATTTCGCTTAAAGTTGTTTGTTAGATCGATCCATTCTGCTCAATCCAGTGCTCGATCCTGTGGTCGATTCACTGGTCGATTTTTAATTCTTAGTAGCTTTGCATTGTTCATCTTTTGCTTGTTCTTCGTAGTAGTTAACCCTCTTCCAAGGATTTTAAAATTGTTTTGCATTGCATTAAATCGTTGCATTTAGTTTTGTTAGATTTTGCCAATCATTTATCATATTTGCTTAGCTTTACCTTACCCTTGCATTCTCATTGCTCTTCCTGCATCCTAGGTTGGATTGATTCCTCTTGCACACTATACTACATCTTTGTGTTGCTTGAGTTTTGATAACCTCCTGCTTGCATCATAAAATCATGTTATCAGAGTGCTCTCTATTCTTTCGGATCTCCTTTGATTCTCTTTACAAATATTTTAATTTCATCTTTAAAACATCAGTTCAATACGTAACTCTATCCATTTTTCTGATTATATATTAGAATCCAGCGATTGTTTGTGACCCTTGAATAATAAATTTCTTCGATCTCTAAATGTAGAAGATGCTTGATCTAATTTTTTTGGGCGATGCTTCTTGTATCTAGTGGCGGTGATGGTTTTAGAGATTCGAACTGACTCCCACCACCACTCTTCCAGTTCAAATGATGTGCATATTAAACTTGGGTACATATATGTGCCAGTGCATATATGGATGTTCATATGTAGTTGAAGTATTAGTGTGTATAGAGGGATGGAGAAGTTGTTAGTATGTAGTTTGGATGATTAGCGTGAATGGTCATGTGTGGATAGTTCTTGATACTTGTGAATTAGTCATTAGTAAGTGACTTTGGAGTCTTTCATAAAATTTTAATAGACAAAATAAATAAGTAAACATTTTTCAATAGACAAAATTTTTGTTTTGAAACTTTAGAAGTCACAAGCTCTTATTTATTGTTGAATTTTTGTATGCCGCTAGAGTGGTCAAATCTCTCAATGAATGATTGAATTTCACTACGAATGATTGAATCTCCTAACCCATTCACATGTAATTGTCCATGAATATATGTTTATCAATGACCGTCAAATAAAGTTCGAACACATGGAGACATATATGATTTGTCCACTCCAAAGTGTCCATGGCATCTCGAATCACACTCCTCATTACACCGCACACACTTCTAAATTTGAAGAGTGAGTTACATAATAATATACTTTCTTGTGATTGTCTTTTGATTAAGACACTTTCTAAGGGAAAGGCAATTGTTTCACTGTTCACGAGTTGTTAATCTGATTTTGCCCCAATGAGAGAGAATCTGATGCCTGATCCCAACGAAATAGTTAGCGTTATTATCACAGAAACGAAAAGGGGATCATTATATCATGGGAAGCTTTTTTCATACTACAAATAAATTATTTTGTTGAAGATGTATTTTCAGCCATTAATTTTGTAATCAAAACTAGTGATTTTCTCTCAAAATAAAACATAATGAGACACACAGACACAATACCAGGCACATCGCTCACCTCTCCTTACTTTTATCCTTTCCACAATCTGGTTATCATCTTTGCCGCACCAGCAACCACTTCCGTCAGAGTCATCTTCTCCTTTGCCGGACTAGCAACCACTTCCATCAGAATTATCTTCATCTTCAATCATTCCACTGGGATCTGCAGATTAGCTCTATTTAGCAATTGACTTTATTCGCTAAACTATATCAATTATAATACAAAGGGTGGTCAAGCAAAGATGATGATGAGAATCCAAAATGCATATGGGAATCAATTTGATCTAATTAGGATTGAACTCAATTGGATGAAGCACACTTGTGTTTGATTAAGGTTAAAATAGAGTACAAAAATGGTGAACATAGGACGGTGGACAAGAATTCGTGCGCATGAAACGGTGGACACGGAATCATGAATATGATACTCATGGTTAAGCTTTCATGGATGCAGAATTATAGATATGAAACTCGTGGATAAGATTTTGTGGATGCAAAATCATGAAATTTAATTTGATTTGACTTAAGTTATTGGAGTTGTACAATTTATTTCTGCGGACACATCATTATGGATTTATATTTATGGATATGTTATTGTAGACCCAAATTTATAGATATATACACATTACTCTCCATATTACTATGTTTTTTATTTGAAAAATTTAAAGGTTCTTCTAAATGTCATCCACATATATAAATTATTGCTGCATATATGAAATATAGACATTTAACAATTTATACTCATGATTTTTGCTGGATACAATGATAATTTTAGGCTTGATTGATGTTTTTAATTTTTATAAAATTCTGCAAAATTTCTTTGAAATACAAATTTAGAATACTATTTCGGATAAAAAAAAAAGTGAGTGAAATTAAAAGTGAATTAACTTTGTTAATTTTGCTAAAAATAAGTTAAAATAAAAGAAAAGCTAATTAAATAAAATATTCAGTGGAAAATATAAATACTTATAACATTGTATAAATATAAGAAAATATTTTTTTTAACAACTAGTACATCATAATTTTTATTAAAAAATAACTTTATAATAATTTTACATATTTTAAAATAATAAAAAAAATATTTTCATTTTAAAGAAAAAAATATAATACAATACAAAAAATAAAAAAATAAACGGTTACAACGTTTCTCTTTGAATGCGATTTTTCCGTAACCAGAGAGAAACACAACCATCTTTTAGTACAACCTCCGGCCGGCGTCGGCTGTTCTCTTATTTTTCTTTTGTTCAAGTTTTTTAAGTTTTATTGCTTCAAATAATAAACAATGTCGATTACCAAAGTGGTTTCCATGGTGATCCATCTTCACGGCCTCTGTTTTCTTCTCTTTCTTCGAGAGAGTAATTCTCTAACCATATCCCGGCGATTATCAAGACGAATCTGTGTCGGCTTCCCTCCGTTAAGATCCATTCTATACGGCTTCTTTCGGTTCTTTGTTGTAACCGTTCAGATTTGGGATCCTGGCGAATTCGTAATCGGTATAGATGATGAGTTTCCGAGGAATTAGAAGTTTAAACTCAAACTGGTACTGAATCAGAACGACCCTGACGTTATCGACCACTGACTTCTGAAACTCATAGTTGTCTCGATCATTACGATGGTGGTGTTGTCTCGAGGCTTCACTTCCCTAGACTTCATATTTTCTGTTTTCTGTTGGTTTTTGAAATGTTTAGAATGGTCACAATTATGGCAGAGGGGGCATCTCAGTTTTTGGCGGATATGGTTCCGCACAATTATAAGAATGGAGAAGGCAATGATAGCCAATAATCGAAATCTATATCAAATATTGCAGTTACAGAGGTCTAAGTCAAAGCCAAATTTTGATTAAAAAAACGAGTTTTTAAAAGCTATAATGGCAATGGTATCTCCGAATTGGAGAATCAGAAGTATCAAGTATATTAGTTTTAAAGAAGCAACAAGATTCAGAATCATTGTCAACATCATTAAATCTATATTTACTAACTAAAGTAATGCCATGAGTATTTTAGAGTTCGGCAGCAAGCCAATAGCCAACAAAAAATGTGTGAAGAGGAAACATAACAGAAATTTTTTGTTGGCCTCTAAACCTTATTGAAATTGTTTCAATTTGCGTATAAGGTTGTTTGTATTGGTTATGTTTCTTTGTAAACTTTTAATATTAATATAATTATTTTACAGTAAGAAGAAAATATAATAATAATTTTAATATAAAAAATTATAAAATTAGAATTTAGATTTAGAAATAACTTGCGCGGATCGATATCTATGATTATTAGTCCAAAAGTACGATCTTTTTCTTTTGGGTATAAACAAATTTACCAAAAATCTCTCTCTTTTCTCTCTCAAGTATCTTTCAGAAAGGAGTGGTTTTTTGTTTTTTTTGTTTCCGATCTTCGGATAATACAATCCGGTTCTTTCGGATCTTTGTGTAGAAGTTTATTTCCGTTTATCGGAATTTGGTTATGAAATTCCCTCTTGCATGTGTTCTATTAAATTCCAGAAGCTTTTAATCAGTTTCTCTTATTCATAAGTCATGCTTGATTTCTTCTTCTCCAAAGATTAAACATCTTCGCTGCTGTTAAGGCGGAGTTTCTTTGTGGGAAGTCTTAAATCAAGTTTTCGGAGTTTGATTTGGAAGAGACGGAGTGGAGTAGGTAGAGCTGGCGTCTCCTGGAGCTACGTCTTTTGGAGCGGTCCCGCAAATTCTCTGTTTCATCTTTTCCGGCGAGTCCCTGAACATCACTTCTGGTGAAAAAGTTGATCTGATTCTTTAGCTTCCGGCGATAAGATGTAAGAGGAACAGTTTGCACGAGCTAAACAGTTTCGCGGTGGTTATTTGCCTGGAAAGCGTCGGAGGTGGCTGAACCCGGCGGTGGAAGCGGCGCTGCAATAGTTCTTCTTCTCGATCAACACGTGTATTTTCTTTGCGTTGATTTGCTTACACGTTCGTACACGTGTTAATAGTTTGTAATTAGCTTATTGGGTCACGTTTGGGCACGTTTGGGCCCAATACTTTGTAAACTGTTCTACCCTTTATGGGTTTCAATATAAAAGAAACGAAAAAAAAAAAAAAAAAGTACAAAAGTACGAACTTCATATAAATGGGCTTTGATGGGCCTGAGATAACCTAGATTTAGGCTCTGAGGTTTATGGGCCCAAACTACCTACTTCAGTCCAAAACGTTGTCACCATCATCGGAATGTTGAGAGAGCTTTCGCATTCAGATTGAAAAAAAAACGAAAATCTCAGAGTTTCTGATTACATCTACGATGGTGCTTCTGAGATCCCTCTGCCGAACCGCTACGGCGGCCTCCGTCGCTGCGCTCCGATCGTCGAGATCCGTCGTTTCTAATCAGCTATTGCGCAATCGTTTCCTCTCGACGCGAGGATTCTTCGCTGTTTCTTCATTTCCTTCCAATCGAACTCCTTATGGTAATTTCTGTAATCGTTGCCTCCTTGTTTCTATATCTTCCGATGAAATGAGATTGTCTAGTTACTAAATATTAGTCTCGGTGGAATCTTAAGTTCACTGCGTTGATCTCTAGAAGGATCATTTCTAGATACGTTAATTAGGTAATCTTTAATTGTAGGATCATGATTCATGACTGCTAGATTAATTTTCATTGTCGTTTTGTTTCCTTGTTCTATAATTTTGTTCGTATTTCGCTTGTTTGATTCTCCTCTAGAGACTGATATGGACATTTCTTTTGTGTATAGCAATATGAATGAAAGAATTGTTGTGAGTAGTCTGTAAGGAAAAATTGGTCGTTGTACTGTTACAGTTGTAAACTATAGCTGTTTAATTGCGAATACTATGAGGCCTACTCGTTCTTGATGGTGAAATTTTGGTCTGCAAGGATGGCAGTTCGTTTTAGAGTTCCCTTAAAAAATTATAGGTCTTTTGTTGCAAAGACTTTGAGGTCTAATCGTGCGTGCCCTTTGTAATTGATTAATTGTGTGTAAAGACGAGAGTTCGTTTTATAGTCACCTTTGAAAAACAATGGCTCTTTCGTTTTGAAGTCTTTGTGGTCTTATCGTGCGTCCGCTCTGTATTTAACTCGCTTGCTGGTGAATAAGTATCTGCAAAGATGAAAGTTCGTTTTTAAGTTACCTTTGAAAACTTTAGGTCTTTTGTTTCAAAGACTTTGAGGTCTAATCATGCGTGCGCTTTGTAATTGATTCATGGTGAATCAAGGTGTGCAAGGACGAGATATTTCATTTTAGAGTTACCCTTGAAAACTATAGCTCTTTCGTTTCAAAGTCTTTAAGGTCTTATCGTGCGTTTGCTCGTTTGACGTTCTTACTGGTGAAAAATGCTCCTCAAAGATGAAAGTTCGTTTTAAAGTTACCTTTGAAAACCATTGCTTTCTTTTGTTGCGAAGACTTTGAGAGGTATCCTCATGTGTACACTTTGTATTTGACGTGCTTGATGGTGGAAAAACGCAGATCGCCAGTATCTTCGTGCGATGGATATTGGACAAGTGCGCAACTTTAGCGAAGATGTGTCTCACATGCCCGAAATCAAAGACAGTGATATTGTAAATGCTTTCAAGAACTTAATGGCTGCGGATTGGGCAGAGCTACCTTCTTCTGCTGTTCACGATGCCAAAACCGCAATATCGAAAAACACAGATGACAAGTCAGGGCAAGAGGCCTTAACGAATGTGTTCCGAGCAGCTGAAGCTGTTGAAGAATTCGGTGGAATTCTCACTTCCCTTAAGATGGAAATCGATGATAGCATTGGAATGAGTGGCGAGGTTTGTCATTACGCCTCACCAGTCCACCACTATATACGTTTCAGGTTGTTTGATGTTTAGCTATTTCTTTTCTCTTTGTTACAGAATGTGAAGACCTTACCAGAAGATATAACCGATGCGCTTCGTGCTGCTTATCAGAGGTATGCTGAATACTTAGATGCCTTTGGACCTGAAGAAGTTTACTTGAAGAAGAAAGTCGAGATGGAGTTGGGAACAAAGATGATCCACTTGAAGATGAGATGCAGTGGGCTTGGTTCAGAATGGGGAAAGGTAATAACATTCGATCCTTCTTCGTCTTAATTCTCTCAAAACTTCTTTCCTCTCGGTCATATAAGTTGTTTTGATTTCTTCTGTAGGTTACTGTTCTTGGAACCTCAGGACTCTCAGGGTCTTACGTGGAGCAAAGGGCATAATAAACGGTGAGAGCAGAACTTTTATATGTTTGTTATTTGCGTTATTGTGTCGTAAACACATAATAAGGTCTATTAACTGACCAAAAAGTGAGTTTTTTTGTTCATTGTTTCCACAAACGAAGCTTTTCAAAAGTTTAGAGCTTAACAAAGAAAAATAAAATAATAAACACTCAAAGCCTTTGTGTTTCTGATGATTTGTGATTTTCAACATTTATGATTCAAGTAAAAGGCATTGGAGCAACTCTATTAGGTTTCCTCCATGACCAAGACTCTGCAGGAGACTTAGGAAGTGGTGGAAGCATAGTAGCTTTTCTTCCTAAACCAAATGGCCATCCTTGGCAATGACACAACTCTTGAATCACTGATCCTTTTCTAATTTCATTCACGTAATACATCTTCCATTGATTCTCCAACTCTTCACCTTTCAAGCTCGAACACCTCGAGAACTCAGTTTTTGCCGTCATGTATCCTTCACTCTGACAACATTCCGAGAAATCGCTTTCCACTGAGCAAAACTCGCTTTCATCTTCCTTCTCTATGTTGCTTTCCTTTGTTGAATTGTAAGTTAGTCTCTCCATGGCTATCTTTGGCTTATACCTTAGTTTCTCAATTGCTCGACTTCTGATCTCGAAAACAACAACCTGAAACCAACACAATCATAAAGAAATGTTTGAGAATGAAACACAAAAGGCAAAAGAAATGTTTTTTTTTAGTTTACTTCATGGTCGTAGTTGAAATCGTTGATGAGCTTGTCGTCATCATTGTCTTCGTAATCTGAAAGGGTAACTTTTCTGCCTTTGCATTTGTAACAATAAGTGAAAGCATCTCTCAACCCTGTGGTCATGTCCTCGGTGCAGAATACCATCGTCGTCAGCTGCAAAAATCTATCTCTTAGCCAGAATGTTTGTAAAAGAAAGAAAAGAATGGGTTTTATCAGATGATTTTGCGGTTTAGGTTTTTAAATAGAATTGTGATCCTGCAGAGTGACAGTTTATCTAACATCACTTGGATTCATTTCAATGCACGCAACACCTATGTATTTCGTATTATAATACCTTTTACTGTTTTTTTGTTGTTGTTGACAACATCATACTTATTTAAAACGGTTTAACAATTGCCGAATTTATATACGAAACATCATAAGAATGGACACGAACACTCTATATATTAATTTATTCGTATTTATGTTGTTTGCGCGTGGAATGAGAAACAGAGACATGTAAAAAGATAGACAATATTGTGTAATGAACAATCTTTTAAAAAATAGAAACATTACGACCAACATTTGATTATGGAAATACAAAAAAAGATCATCCGAATTAGGCCGTAGGTGGGTTTTTAATCAGTAGGAAACAACATTTTGGAATTCATCTAAAGAATATTCAAAGTTGGTTTTGTTAAAGAAATTCATAACTGTCTTGAAGCATAATACATGGTGGTGATAAGACATGGCACCGAACAAACCATGAATACGCAAAGATCATATCCATCTTTTTTAGTGATTTACAATTTGTTATGTTCTTACCCACCAATAAAAATTCGTGTAAAATGAAGAAATCTACTTTACCTATTGAAATTGGTACATTCAAATAATTAAAAGAAACATACCTTAAAATCTTCGTTTCTATTTTATATTTCTTGACGAACTTGAATTAGAATTATGACACTACATCCCCAAGAGAAGCTTTGTGTATGTTTGTCAATGGCTTTCTTCTTCAATATATTTGGATTCTGTTTATAATCTTCTTCTTCTTCTTCTTTCTGACAGCATAGAAAGCTTTTAATCTGTGACCACCATTATTTCGTTCACATGCCCCCACAAAGCAATAATTACACCAAGAATCCATATCTCCTTTTTTGCCTCAAACTTTAGTTTAAGCTTTCCACATTATTAAATTCATAGCTAATTTACCCACTTAAAAAATTTAAAACATCCACCAATTGCTATTTAATTGTTTTGTCTCCCATTTTTTTGCTACTTACCAAAATGACTGGATACAAAAGCTCATCTATTATCCCAAAAGAATATTGTTGTTTGGATATGACTTAAACAGATTTTGGAAAAATCTATTACTTTCTTCGCCAAATTTATTGAAAATTACATGTGTATCATTACTATTTTATTGAATTGTTTTATGTATATTTAAAGATGGACGACTGTTCTCCAACATGTACCAAAAAAGATTATATTGAAACAGCTTCACATTAGATAAGATGCATATTGTTAGAGGAAAAAATGAGCATATTTTTTAAAAGACTTTTCCTAGCAATAACCTAAGTCCATCAGGACCATGAAAATCGCTCCGACTTAGCTCGGATCGAAAGAAATACCATGAAGATAACCATCGAAGACCGGAAACATCAGATCAACTCGAAAGATAAAAGAGAATTTCCGTATTCCTCGGAGAATAAGGAATATTTTCATATCACAAATATAGAAATATTTACCAAAGGCAAAAAGGAAAAGGAGTTCGGAGTAACCAACCTCCTATCCCTATAAATAAAGAGGACCTCGAAGCCAAGAAGAACAACTCATACATTCTAGAGAGCAGCAGAGCAAAAACCAGAGACTCCAACGTTTTCTAGTTTACTTTGCAAACACCTTTTTTCACTTCGGCATAACCACTCGGTTATACATTTCTTTGTAATCGCTTCGCTTACTTGCTATTAATAAAAGACCTTATTCTCCGAAATCCACAACTGTTAATTAAACCCTAGTGGTGATTTTCTGGTTCAACAGTACTAGGAGAATAGAATTCTTAAAACTAGCAACCAAAAGCCGAAGCAATGAGTCTCCCGATCGACGACAGCAATCTCATCCGCAACGACGATGACACCACCACTCACACCGAGACACCTGCTCTCGGCGAACACGTCAACTCGACCACCGCGATCCTACCACCCACGGGAGAATACGACCAAGCGACATTCAACGGTACCTGCATGATTTTAGGAGGAATGTTCAACGATCCTAGTTCGCTAGAAGAAATAAAACGACACGAAGAAAAAGCAGCGGGAGCAAAGCGAGATCCACCCGTCCCGAGGTACGAGACGCCAATAGATTTCACAGCAGAGGATCAGCACAGCTGGCACGCGCCGCACTTCAACTCACTAGTCATAACTCTACAGATTCACGAAAGCACGGTCACCAAAGTTCTGATCGACGGCGGAAGTACAGTCAACATCATCTTCAAGGACACTTTGTCAAGGATGAACATTAGTGAAAATAAGATAATAGCGATCAGAAAACCGCTGATGGGATTCGCGGGCGACACCTCCTACAGCATCAGTTCGATACATTTAATTACTTATATCGGCGGCATGATCAAGAAGGCAGAATTTGCAGTTATCGACCGCCCGACCATCTACAACGTCATCCTCGGAACTCCATGGATCCACGCCATGAAGGCCGTCATCTCAACATACCATCAATGCATTAAGTTTCCAACTCCTACCGGTACATTCACACTGCAAGGCGACCAGTCAACAGCACGAATGTGCCTCCTCAGCGAAAGAAAGATCAGAACGGCAACCGCCTGCATGGTGAATGAAGACTTGGACCCGCGTCTTCCCTTCCACAAAAGACCGAAGCCTGAGCAAGTTATACAGGTAGGCATTGACGAGCAACACCCGGAGAGAACTGCAAGCATTGGCGGTGACCTTACGGAAGAAATAAAAACAGAGCTCATCAAACTTTTTCGCGACCACGTACACTTATTTGCATGGTCCATGGAGGATATGAAGGGGATCGACACCAAAATCACATCGCATAAACTAAACGTAGACCCTACGTTTAAACCAATAAAACAAAAACGCAGGAAGCTCGGTCCTGAGAAAGCACAAGCCGTAATCGACGAAGTGAAAAAACTACTCGGCGCCGGGTCGATCACCGAGGTCCAATATCCCGACTCGCTAGCCAATCCCGTTGTGGTCAAAAAGAAGAACGGTAAGTGGAGGATCTGCGTCGATTTCACCGATCTCAATAAAGCCTGCACAAAAGACTCCTTTCCACTTCCTCAAATCGACCGACTGGTCGAATCAACAGCCGGAAACCAGCTCATATCCTTTATGGATGCCTTCTCTGGTTACAATCAGATATTTATGCATCCCGACGAGAGAGAAGAAATGGCATTCATCACCGATCGCGGAACGTATTGCTATAAAGTCATGCCTTTTGGACTAAAAAACGCAGGCGCTACATACGAACGATTGGTCAACAAGATGTTCGCAAGTCAGCTCGGCAGTACCATGGAAGCTTACATTGACGACATGCTGGTCAAATCCGCAATCGCCAAAGATCACGTCGGCCACCTCAGGGACTGCTTCTAAACCCTCGAGAAATACAGAATGAAGTTGAATCCAGCTAAATGTACGTTCGGCGTAACCTCAGGAGAATTTCTAGGTTACGTTGTCACTCAAAGGGGGATAGAAGCAAACCCAAAACAAATCTCAGCAATTCTGGACCTTCCGTCACCCAAAAGCACACGCGACGTACAACGTTTAGCCGGCAGAATCGCCGCTCTAAACAGATTTATCTCGCGTTCAACCGACAAATGTCTCCCTTTTTATCAGTTACTTCGGAGTAATAAACGCTTTGACTGGGATGAAAAATGCGAGGAGGCATTCACGCAGCTGAAAGAATACCTAACCACCCCGCCAATATTAGCAAAACCAGAGGATGGCGAGATTTTGTACCTTTTCATCGCAGTCTCAACAGCAGCAGTAAGCGGCGTCCTTGTTAGGGAAGACCGCAGCGAACAGAAGCCAATCTTCTACGTGAGCAAGACTTTGGATGGAGCCGAAACTCGCTATCCAGCCCTGGAAAAACTAGTTTATGCAGTAATCATCTCGGCACGGAAACTACGACCCTACTTCCAATCTCACACCATCGTCGTCTTCACCAGTCAACCACTTCGAAGTATCCTGCACAGGCCAAGCCAGTCTGGCCGAATGGTCAAATGGGCAATAGAACTATCCGAATATGATATCGAGTACCGCGCTCGAACTAGCGCTAAATCTCAAGTCTTAGCAGACTTCATGATCGAGATACCACCGGATCTACTAGACAATGAGTCAACTGTAGAGAGCCGATGGAATCTATATGTCGACGGTGCGTCCTCAAAGCAAGGGTCAGGAATTGGCATTTGTTTAAAGTCACCGACAGGAGAAATCCTCGAGCAGTCTTTCAAACTCAGCTTCCCTGCTTCGAACAACGAAGCAGAATACGAAGCTTTGCTGGCAGGACTTCAGCTCGCCCAAGAAGTGAGAGCAAAACATGTTCATGCCTTCTGCGATTCCCAGCTCGTCGCCAGCCAATTCAAGGGAGACTACGATGCAAAGAACGAGCGAATGGACGCGTACCTTAAACAGGTTCAAGAAATAACAAAGCAATTCGACTCCTTCGAACTAACCAAAATCCCGTGAACTGAACATACCGCTGCCGACGCGCTGGCGGCCTTGGCATCCGCAACGGATCCTGCACTCCGTCGAACAATTCCAGTAGAAAACATCGAGCAACCCAACATTCAGCTATCCAAGAGATCTTGCAACGCGGTGTTACACCAAGAGGACGAAGTGGACGATCCAATGGAAGAGGACAACGAACAACAAAAGCAGCCTTAGCAAGACGAAATCAAGTCTTACCTGCTAGAAGGGACGGTTCCGGAGGACAGATGGGCAGCTAGACACCTCCGGAGAAAAGCAGCGCAATATTTCATGGAAGAAGGGAACCTTTTCCGATGGACAGCAAACAAAATAATACTACGATGCTGTGATGAGGCGCAGGCAAAAAGAGTTATGATAGAAACCCACGACAGAGCAGGCGGACATCATTCAGGAGGAAGGGCATTAGCATTAAAAATAAAGAAGCATGGC